TACACATAAAACAATAGTAGATATAGCACTCATGCAATGTGGTTGAGCGCATACCATAGGAAAAACTAAAGCTTTAATGCTCATTGAGTTCAATAATAGGAATGTCCTTTAGTATGTGTCTTATTATCACTAGCTGGCCAATGTCACTCTGATACTCGGAAGGAAGTGTGGCCATCAGAGGCCGAAATCAAGAAAAAACTTTCCCAACAATCACGTCCATTCACTTCGACCCTCCCCCCCCCCTCCCCCCTCCCCATCCCTCCCCCCCCCAGCCCAGCCCGTAGCTACGAGCCAGCTATTCCAGCCTCACACCCCCTCCCCCCCCCCTCTGTGCAGCAGACATGGATGCCCTCTTACACTACAGTTTTTAAAACTGCATTACGTTAACGACTCTTCTTGTCAATTTGTACCTCCGTGTGACGAATTACAGAGTGCAGGGACTAGTATTCTCCCTATCTCCAGGGACCAAGTCCGGCCTGCCGGTTTCACCCATGAATTCCATTAGCATAAATGTTACTTTGCTCACACATCCAACGAGTCCATAACAAGTAGTAAAGCAATCCATTTGATTCATCGCCAGTTCACTCCAATGCAAACACGGTCTGTGCTACTTCAATGGCATGCCCGACCTGGAAGATCCAAGCCACCTCGCACCTCACAACCACTTTTTGTGAACTCACTCCCTGCCACCAATTCCTAGATGAGACCCCTAACTCCTCATGTCACTAACAACCTTACCTACTACTGACTCACACTCTTGAATGGTCATTCTGTTTTGCTCTATTACTTCTGGGCTATTCCTATGTCATGAACCATACACCTCAACAATCACCTTCACCCCTCAGCCATCTAGACAACAGTCTCTTGACCTGCATATACCACGACACACTCCCAAATGAGAACTTGCCGAAATCCAACGAACTTCGCTCTAGGAGGGCATTGATAATTGCACAACCATACCAGCATTGCGCCCTACCACACCCACAGTGCACAGAGCATGACCATTTCACTCAGCACTCACAGCGGGCTTCTCACTCGCCGCATACCTACTTCATCAACAGACTCATGCTTCACCACAGACATTCTACCTCATAAGACCGCTTGGTAGAAACTCCATACTCGCATACATTCCCCTACATTTGCCAATCAAGGACTACATATACTTCTTCCTCGTCTGCGCACAGACCCGAAGTGCACCACTCACCCTTTTCCCCTCATCATTCTATGTATTCACCTCATCTTATTCATCGACCCATCCGCTGACACGATCGGCACCCTCTCCAATATATCTGAATACAGTGTAGGTCCCAACCCTGTTCAAGAGCGATCTTTTTATAAATTTTGTTCTACACTCACACAGAGGGGGTGCAGCTATGTTCACGGTGGCGCAGTTTCTCTGACCGTGACTCATTTATGTTCCGCAGATATGTATAGGAATATTGCTGAAGCAGATTAGTCCAATCTTCAGACCCCCAAACATACAGCGTAGCAAACGCACTTACACTGACAATTAAATTCACACATTTGCCAAATTGGTCGGCTATTCGGAGGTTACACTCGTATGCAGTGGGGGACACCACTGTACATTCACCTCCTCCATACTCTCTCCCTCTCCATCTGATAACCAGGATCTTTCATCACCTAATCTTTTTGTTATCCTCATAAACCTATACCTCTTTTTCCTGTATTCAATTTAAATTTCTTCTTTTAACCATACCGCTAGCCAAATTCATTCCACCAACCTCCTGCAACTTCTCATCAGAAACTCCCCAAAGCAAGTGTCATCAGTAGACAATAGAGTCAACTGTGAGATTCTAACACACCACATTGTGCTGTATCACTTTATGTCTATTTTAACTCCGGATTCGCCTTCTATGAACTGATTCAATACCTCAGTATCTTCATTATCGCCTTTGTTTATGCCAAAAATCACTCTTATATACTTCGATGATATCTCCCTTTCATCTACATCTCATGAGAGATGTTATGATGAAAGGAGATTCCTTAGTACATTTAATCATTTTTATGTCACATCCTTCCCTGCATGTTTTCACCAATGAATTTATATTCCAACCTGAAGAAAGTTTGTGGTGTCAAAGTGTCAACAAATACCGACAATATGAAAGTTTAGATACAAAGTGCAACGCTCATGTAAATCTTTTGTGTAAAATATTTTACATCTTCCGACGGGCTAAAGTGCCAAATAGGAGTATAGTGTAGAACAGGACCCCCAATGTCAATTCCCCAATTACACTCCGCCCCCCCTTGCCTCACATCGTCAAATCGCTTCAGTGGCCGTTCCGCGTACCCGTCCTTGGCCACCTTCGCGTTTAGAATAAATTCCATAATAACCTCTTCATTTGCCCACCATTCCCCTTCCCAATTATAACCCTTCTTCCACCTGCAACCCAACGTCCACCCAACCACCACTTCCGATACCCAACCCTTAATCCATTATCATCTATCTTTCCCTATCAAACCTGGCCCCTCATACCACCTTTACCCCAAAACTATCCACCATTACTTCGGCCTTAGTGAGCCATGATTGTCCCTCCCATTCGATATAACCCTTTTCCCCCACGCCCCCTATCAAACCCACACACACCCCCCCCACACCCCTCCCCCCCCCCCCCCCCTTTAGTTGTTCCCCCGCGGGCCTCCCCCCCCTTCTTCATTCTTCCCCTCTCTCTCCAACCCCTACCCCTGTAGCCTTTGGCGTTGCGCCCGGTATGCATCCCGGGTCCTTTGGCTCCTTGGCGCTTACCCAGAACGACGGGGCGGCCCCGGGTGGTGAGGCCCGTTTCTAAAGCATTTTCCCCTGACACACTCCATGTGCGTCAACACCAGACACCACCTCACCGGTTCCTAAACATAATTCACTAATTTTACCACCTTATTACAGCGGTCCCGTAAATCACGTTCCCTTCACATCTTCACCAGAACATTTTAAGACACTTCCTATTATGAAGTGAGGCTATTTAATCCTTAGGCCGCCGTGAACAACCAATTTCCTGGCTCCCCATGTTTTTCACAGCCCTCTTAAACAACATTCCAAACAATCTCCCCGCTCCCTGATGCCCCGTCTTTGGACCCTTCCTGCCATCCCATCAGCGCAAGCGCAGAGCTTCCCTGTTGTTTCTATTCAATTTTCAAATACATTTTTGACCCATATCAACATACAAACACCTATTAGGCACTATAGCTTCGGAAGAATTAAAATATTTTCCACAAAGAATATCCCAGATGTTGCAATTATCTAAACCTTCATATTGTCGTATTTATAACCTTGCTCCACAACTTTTACTTACAGGAGGATATAAATCATTGGAAACATGCAGGGAAGGATGACTAAAATGATTAACTGTATAAGGAACCCTTTCTTTCAACATCTCTCCAGAGATGTAGAATGAAAGGAGATATCATCGAAGTATATAAGTGGATGATTGCATAAAACAGAGGCGATAATAAAATACTGAGGATATTGAATCAAGTAAGAACCAGAAAATAACAGATTAAAGTTTGATAAATCTCGATTTGGAAAGGACAAGTAAGTCAGAGTTTGTCCTGTGGTGTGGAACAATCTGCCGAGTAGGGTAATCGAGGCTGGGACACTGTGTAAGCTTTATAAAGAGATTGACCAATATATGAGTGGAGGGGATAGGTTTTGATTGGTGTCATGGTTGGGAGTAAATTCTTGGGTAGTTTTGGGAAGGGGTGGTTTTGATAAAGGACCTGCCTGTTTGGGCCGTAGACCTTTGCAGTATTCCTCCATTTTCTTGTGTTTCTTATATATCAAATGAATATATTGTTTATTTAAACAATTATGATGTGATGGTTATATTGAAAAGTTTATTATAGTGTTTAACCCAAGACTACCATGGATGAAGACAGTTTTCCCTAATAAAGTATTTATTAATTCAGAGCATGGATTCTGAACGAGAAAAGTTTCGTACTTACTATTGAAAATCGGGGGGTCATGTCTGCATTGACTGATGCTCTCGTCAACATCTCTATGAGAAACTGAGAGGCTTCCATGAATGCCCATCCAATACATAAGTAAAGATATATAGAGGTTCCCTTGGCGCACGTTACTCCAGCAGGTTGAGAGAAGCATGGAGAGAAATATTAATTTTAAGGCAAGTAACCTGAAGACTGCTTCACTTTAACCTCTCCTGGGGTGATCCTCATTACTTTCTTCATCTCCAGGCTTCCAGCTCTGCTGATTCACTGGCAGCGTTGTCCTAATATTGTGCAATACATGGCGGATTTCTTCCCCGTTTACAAATTTAAAAATTCAATAACGGGATTCTAGGTGTAGGATAAAATTTTATTTTGGCCCACTACGTGAGAATTTGTGATTTTTTTTTATTCAGGTGTTCATTATTTGCATTGAACACAATTATATTCAGTTATTGGTAGTAAAAGTAGTTTTATCCACGGGTAAAATAAGCTGTATAATTGAAGGTTGCTGCTCAGCGGGTCAGACATTTTATATTAAATTTATTTAGGTACACAAGTACAATTATCATGTGTAAATTACCTAGGATAACCCAAAAAAGTTAAAGTGGCTTATTTCCATTGGGTCCTTATTTCAAGCCTAGCTGTGAATTATACAAATATACATCATTGAATAAACAGCTGTTTCATTGGTAAATCGTTATTTTTGGAGATAGTGAAAATGGTACTTTTCCTAATGTGGGCACTTCTATAAACTTCTTATTATGGCCAGTCACAGCGATGTGAACGACCAGTGGCGGAGCAAGGTTAAGCTATGTTATAACAATATTTCGCTGTATAGCCCTTGTGGCTTAGCGCTTCTTTTTTATTATAATAATAATAACAATATTTCTACAAGGAATGTGATACAACTGATGCACCCCTAAGTAACATCATTGATATAGTTTATATTAAGCTGTGGGTTACACAGCGCATATCCGGCTAATCTTGTCCCCCAGGATGTAACCCACAACAGTTATCTAACAGCCAGGTATGATTATGATTACTCACTGCTAGGTCAACAGGAGCAGCAGGTGTAAGGAAACAGGCCCAACGTTTCGCCCGTGCCAGGGATTGATGCCAGACACTCGGTGTGGGAATTGAGAACTCTATACGAGGACCCCAACGAAAATAAGTCACTGACTTTTTTGGGCTATCCTAGGTAATTTACACTATGTATAATAATTGTACTTATATGTACCTGTGCCTAAATAAATAAACTTATTTACCATTTGCACACCGTAATACTACTGTCAAATGTAAAACTTGCTCAGTACTGTACAATTTAAATTATTTTTTCACTTAAATCTTCTGAGAAGCAACATTCAGTTATTACCAAACAGTGCCTTATTTCCTTTGTTGTCATCATTTGTAAAATAGAGGTAAAAGTATTAATACTTTACACATATTGGTTTCTTAATTTTGGTAGTAAGTACTAAAGTTATATATATATATATATATATATATATTTTGACATCTTTTAAGAGCATGTGTTATGGCTAGTCCGAGATTGTAATTATTTACTTATTTGGATTAATATTGCATTGAGGGACTTGAGTTTTTTGTAATGTAAATCTTTCAATATTTCCAAATGTATTATGCAATGGAGATGCACATACATTGGGGTCTATTTTAACTCAAAAATATCTCACTTGGATTATGCTGTTCAGTTTTAGTCTCCTTACTACAGTATGAAAGTTTAGACACCTGTGCAACATCTGGATATCATTATTGTAGACGTTTCGCCATCCTGGAGTTTACCTGGAGAGAGTTTCGGGGGTCAATGCCCCCGCGGCCCGGTCTGTGACCAGGCCTCCTGGTGGATCAGAGCCTGATCAACCAGGCTGTTGCTGCTGGCTGCACGCAAACCAGCGTACGAGCCACAGCCCGGCTGGTCAGGAACCGACTTTAGGTGCTTGTCCAGTGCCAGCTGCCAGTGCCAGTGCCAGTGGCTTTATCAATACAGATTCTAGGACATAATTAGGAGACAGTAGAACTATATACAAAAGATGAGGTAATCAGTCCCTCAGCCTTGGAGTTAGTGTTCACAGCATCATGGTGGAGAATCTTTTGTATATAGTTCTACTGTCTTCTAATTATGTCCTAGAATCTGTATTGAGAAAGCCACTGGATGGCGAAACGTCTACAATAAAGATTATGGAAAATTTTATAGGAGTTACCTGTATGTACCTCAACATTACATTCATACAAGTAATCTCATTGGGAGACAAGAACCATATTGTTTACTGTAGTCACCCCGTGTAGACATGTGAGAAAACTTAGCCACCCCTGGTCACGGCAGGTGGTTCCTTCAACCTCACAAGCTTACCCATATCTATCCGAGACCAGTATGACGGGTAGCACCCGCAAGTACGGCGCTACTAATTAATTGTGGACTGTATAGATTATATTAGTTTAACCGAATGAAGGGAGGGTAGGTTGCACATGTATATATCCATCAAGGAAAAAACACTTGTATATAATACCACCACTTACCAGATATTCTCTGGTGGTCACGATGTAGCTGGATCACCCACAACCTATCCAATTACAACACACCTAACTGGCCAGTATCAGTTTATAACTAGAAGGGTTACTTAACTGTGGGTGATTGATGCTCCTTATTTCCTCCATTCCCCATCTATTTCTGATGTCCTGCTACACCGACACGGTTCTTATTCCAGCAGGACGAGGTATCCATTGGTTTGTCTCGGTTTAGAAGTCGTGACTCCATAAAACTTCACTATCCTCTGGGACAGGAACCACGGGGTCTACACGTGCACACTCACTCAGAGCAAGGCGACTTATTTCACTTCACGCATTCTCTTAACTTAGTGTTATTATCACTGATTACATTACAATTCACAAGACGATTTAATGTCTCATAATTATTATGCACATTAGAAGTCACTCCATTAAGATCTGAGACCAATGAGTGATGATTAAATCACGGGTATTTTCCCCTGGACACACTCCATGGCGTCACACCAGTCACCACCGGTCCTACCATTATTCACTAATTTTACCACTTATTACAGCGGTCCCGTAAATCACGTTCCCTCACTCTTCACCAGGAACAGTTAAGACACTTCCTATTATGAAGTGAGGCCTATGTTAATCCTTAGGCCGCCGTGAACACCAATTTCCTGGTCCCATGTTTTCACAGCCTCTTAACAACATTCCAAACACTCCCGCTCCCTGATGCCCCGTCTTGACCTCTTCCCTGCCCATCAGCGCAAGCGCAGAGCTTCCCTGTTGTTTCTATTCAATTTTCAAATACATTTTTGACCCATATCAACACAAACACCTATTAGGCACTATAGCTTCGGAAGATTAAAATATTTTCCACAAAGATATCCAGATGTTGCACATGTATCTAAACTTTCATATTGTCGGTATTTTATACCTTGCACCACAACTTACTACAGGATGGATATAAATTCATTGGAGAACATGCAGGGAAGGATGACTAAAATGATTAACTGTATAAGGAATCTCCTTTCATTCAACATCTCTCATGAGATGTAGAATGAAAGGAGATATCATCGAAGTATATAAGTGGATGATTGGCATAAACAAAGGCGATAATAAAATACTGAGGATATTGAATCAAGTAAGAACCAGAAATAACAGATTTAAGTTTGATAAATCTCGATTTGGAAAGGACAAGGTAAGTCAGAGTTGTCTGTGTGTGGAACAATCTGCCGAGTAGGGTAATCGAGGCTGGGACCCTGTGTAGCTTTAAAAAGAGATTGGACCAATATATGAGTGGGAGGGGATAGGTTTGATTGGTGTCATGGGTTTGGGAGTAAATTCTTGGGTAGTTTTGGGAAGGGGTGGTTTTGATAAGGACCTGCCTTGTTTGGGCCTGTAGACCTTTGCAGTATTCCTCCATTCTTGTGTTCTTATATATCAAGGAATATATTGTTTATTTAAACAATTATGAATGTGGATGGTTATATGAAAAGTTATTATTAGTGTTAACCCAAAGACTACCATGGATGAAGACAGTTTGCCCTAATAAAGTATTTATAATTCAGAGCATGGATTCTGAACGAGAAAAGTTTCGTACTTACATTGAAAAATCGGGGGTCATGTCTGCATTGACTGATGCTCTCGTACATCTCTATGAAGAAACTGAGAGGCCTCCTGATGCCCTCCAATACATCAAAAGCACTCTAGGCACAAGATCAGCTGATGGTGACCGGATACGGATGTTTGAGGAAAAGGTGATTGCTTGTGATCTTGTACAGCAAATTTTATATAAAGGCTTGGGGTTATGTATGCATTTTTGATCAAAACATTTGTTGGAATGAGAATCTCACAAATTAGTGAAAGTAATCAATTGTGTAATGAGTACTCCATACACATTTAGTTGCATGGGTCATGGATAATCCATCTGATACTGTCATTGGGATTTCTGTATAAAAATACATTCAGTAACATTTGGGGCTACCCACAGAAATTTTTGTATACTGGGAAAGGCAGTATAACCATAGATTTGCAATTGCAGCAATACCATTTAACACCCCAGCATTCATTACACAATTGCATGAGTGCTGATACTTAGAATGTTAAATCATGCTATGTAAGGAGGCAAATTTTAATTAAGATTGCATTCTATTCACTTATAATTGATAATTGTTACATAAAATGTTGAAGATTGCAAGCCATAGTATTCTTGTTAACTAACCTAATTAAATTATTATTTACTGCTTATAAGTTAATCTTAAGGCTGCACACAATGCTCTAGATATGGGGGGTTTTGCATCAAGTAGTTTACATGTCAATTTTGGTCTGTACTTCTAGAAAGTTAGTTAATGTCATTACAGAGAAAATGAGTATGAATTATTTAATATTTTGGATTTTTATTGTCTTGTCAATGTAATTTTATTTAGGTTTTAGTGCTTAAATTATTTGTATATTACTTAAAATACAGGTGAAAGAAATGCAGAACACTATTGAATCGCAGAAGGCAACAATTGAAGCTCAGCAGTCGGAAATTGCTTATCTTAAGGAATGCTTGACCCAGGCACAAGCAAATAAGTTACCCCCTGAAGATGCAACACAAGCTTAGCAAATAAGTAAGTACGTACTGTACAGTACACGTGTGTGTATTTTAAATGCAATATACCATAGGTTTTTCGTTAGCCTAATTTTCAGTGCTCTTTAATAAGGCAATAATGACAGTGTAATTAAGTTTTTTAATGTAATGGGAATTCTGTAATATAATGTAGTTTACAGATGCATTTTCTAAGTTTTGTAGCTGAAATTTCAAATACACTGTTTTACCATTTTTACCTGGAGCCTACCTGGAAAGTGTTCTAAGGGTCAGTGGTCTCATGGCCAGCTCCCAGATCAGACTTTCAGGCTACCTGATCAACCAGGCTGTTGGTGTTAACCATCCAAAGTCCTAAGTATGCACCACAGTCTGGCTGATCAGGAACTGACTTGAACTTAAGTTCCCTCTTGAGGATGTAAGAAGGGAGTTTGTTAAAAAAAAAAAAAATTTGGTCCCCTCACATTTGTGGGGTTTTTCTTTAGTTTACTCGTCTGCCCACTACTTGCACTGAATGGCCCATATGGGCTTAGCATTTAACATAAAAATAGTAATAACACACTGCAATGTGTTGAGGCATCCATGGAAAAAAAAGCTTATCTATTGAGGCAATAAAGAATTTTTTATTTTTATTAACACACTGGCCAATTCCCACCAAGGCAGGGTGGCCCGAAAAAGAAAAACTTTCACCATCATTCACTCCATCACTGTCTTGCCAGAAGGATGCTTTACACTACAGTTTTTAAACTGCAACGTTAACACCCCTCCTTCAGAGTGCAGGGACTGTATTTCCCATCTCCAGGACTCAAGTCCGGCCTGCCGGTTTCCCTGAATCCCTTCATAAATGTTACTTTGCTCACACTCCAACAGCCCATCAAGTATTAAAAACCATTTGTCTCCATTCACTCCTATCAACACCTCACGCAGCCCGCGGAAGTCAAGCCCTCGCACCAAAACCTTTAACTCCTCCCTCCAACCTTCCAGGCCGACCCCTACCCAGCCTTCCTTCCACTACTGACTGATACACTCTTGAAGTCCCTTCTGTTTTCTCTATTCTCTCTACGCTGAACCACCTCACAACCCTTCCCCACCCTCTAGACAACAGTTTGGGAATCCGCACCTCCTCCTAACTTCCAAACTAGAATTCTCTGCATTATATTCACACACACATGCCCCCAACATGACATTTCCACTGCCCCCCAGCCTTCTCCTCGGGTGCAACTTCATCCCCATGCTTCACACCCATATAAAGCTTGGTAAAACTATACTCTCATACATTTCCCCTCTTTGCCTCAAAGGACAAAGTTCTTTGTCTCCACAGACTCCGAAGTGCACCACTCACCCTTTTCCCCTCATCAATTCTATGATTCACCTCATCTTTCATAGACCCATCCGCTGACACGTCCACTCCCAAATATCTGAATACAGTTGGACCCCCGGTTAACGATATTTTTTCACTCCAGAAGTATGTTCAGTTGCCAGTACTGACCGAATTTGTTCCCATAAGGAATATTGTGAAGTAGATTAGTCCATTTCAGACCCCCAAACATACACGTACAAACGCACTTACATAATTACACTTGCATAATTGGTCGCATTCGGAGGTAATCGTTATGCGGGGGTCCACTGTACATTCACCTCCTCCATACTCTCCCTCTCCAATCTGATATCCAATCTTTCATCACCTAATCTTTTTGTTATCCTCATAACCTTACTCTTTCCTGTATTCAATTTTAATTTTCTTCTTTTACATACCCTACCAAATTCATCCACCAACCTCTGCAACTTCTCTTCAGAATCTCCCAAGAGCACAGTGTCATCAGCAAAGAGCAACTGTGACAACTCCCACTTTGTGTGATTCTTTATCTTTTAACTCCACGCCTCTTGCCAAAACCCTCGCATTTACTTCTCTTACAACCCCCCTCTATAAATATATTAAACAACCACGGTGACATCACACATCCTTGTCTAAGGCCTACTTTTACTGGGAAATAATCTCCCCCTTTCTACTATCTAACTTGAGCCTCACTGTCCTCGTAAAAACTCTTCACTGCTTTCAGTAACCTACCTCCTATACCAACCCTGCAACATCTGCCACATTTCCCCCCCATCCACCCTGTCATATGCCTTTTCCAAATCCATAAATGCCACAAAAACCTCTTTAGCCTTATCTAAAACTGTTCACTTATATGTTTCACTGTAAACACCTGGTCCACACACCCCCTACCTTCCTAAAGCTCCTTGTTCATCTGCTATCCTATTCTCCGTCTTACTCTTAATTCTTTCAATAATAACTCTACCATACACTTTCCCGGGTATACTCAACAACTTGTCCCCCTATAATTTTTGCACTCTTTTGTTCCTTTGCCTTTATACAAAGGAACTATGCATGCTCTCTGCCCAATCCCTAGGTACCTTACCCTCTTCCATACATTTATTAAATAATAGCACCAACCACTCCAAAACTATATCCCCACCTGCTTTTAACATTTCTATATTTATCCCATCAATCCCAGCTGCCTTACCACCTTTCATTTTACCTACTGCCACACGAACTTCCCCCACACTCACAACTGGCTCTACCTCACTCCTACAAGATGTTATTCCTCCTTGCCCTATACATAAAATCACAGCTTCCCTATCTTCTTCAGCATTTAACAATTCCTCAAAATATTCCCTCCATCTTCCCAATACCTCTGACTCTCCATTTAATAACTCTCCTCTCCTATTTTTAACTGACAAATCCATTTGTTCTCTAGGCTTCCTTAACCCTTTGACTGTCGCGGCCGTATATATACGTCTTACGAGGTACCGTGTTTGACGTATATATACTCATAAATTCTAGCGGCTTCAAATCAAGCAGGAGAAAGCTGGTAGGCCCACATGTGAGAGAATGGGTCTGTGTGGTCAGTGTGCACCACATAAAAAAATCCTGAAGCACGCAGTGCATAATGAGAAAAAAAAAACTCCGACCGTTTTTTTTTTTTTTTTTTTATAAATTAAAATGCCGACTTTGTGGTCTATTTTCGTATAGTATTTATGGTTGTATTCTCGTTTTCTTGGTCTCATTTGATAGAATGGAAAACATTATAGAAATAGAGGTGATATTGATTGATTTTACTATAAAAAGAACCTAGAAATTGAGCTCAAAGTAGGGGAAATGTTTGATTTTTGCCAATGTTCAAAAGTAAACAAATGATGCCATTGTCCAATAAATGTCCAACTAGCCATTCTAATATGCAGTCATGAATGGGTTGATGTTATTTATACAATTATTACAGTATTGCAGTAGTCTTCATAATAGTAAGTCTTCTATTTTTTGTTTGAATAAAAATTAAAAATAGAAAGCAAGAGTAATATCAGAGGGGCCTGGAGACATGACTGATGAGCAAAGAAAATGTTATTTTAGAGCCAGGAATGTCTGCATTGTTCTTTCTGGACCTTATTTTGAAATTGTCATATTTTTTAGTTTTCGTGAAATTGGCCAAATTGCAAATTTCTGACCACATTATTAGGTAGTTGAAATCTGTAAATGGGCAGTTTCTTGTACTCAATCAATAGAAAAAATGGAGTTCTAAAGAAATAGCTGAGAGTTTGGGCGACTGGAACAATGGAATTAGCCGAAAATAGGGCTCAAAGTGAGCGAAATCGCCTATTTGTAAACAGCACCGAGGTCGCTAACTTCGCGAGAGCATAATTCCGTCAGTTTTCCATCAAATTTCGTTTTTTTTTGGTGTCATTACAATCTGGAAAAGATTCTCTATCATTTCATCAGAATGATAGAGAATCTTTTAAATTTTGCGACACCAGGAGACACCTCAGGATTGGGCGTTGCGACAGTCAAAGGGTTAACTTGTTAATCTCACTCCAAAACTTTTTCTTATTTTCAACAAAATTTGTTGATAACATCTTACCCACTCTCTCATTTGCTCTTTTTACATTGCTTCACCACTCTCTTAACCTCTCTCTCTTTCTCCATATACTCTTCCCTCCTTGCATCACTTCTAATTTGTAAAAACTTCTCATATGCTAACTTTTTCTCCCTTACTACTCTCTTTACATCATCATTCCACCAGTCGCTCCTCTTCCCTCCCGCACCCACTTTCCTGTAACCACAAACTTCTGCTGAACACTCTAACACTACATTTTTATACCTACCCCATACCTCTTCGACCCCATTGCCTATGCTCTCATTTGCCCATCTATCCTCTAATAGCTGTTTATATCTTACCCTAACTGCCTCCTCTTTTAGTTTATAAACCTTCACCTCTCTCTTCCCTGATGCTTCTATTCTCCTTGTATCCCATCTACCTTTTACTCTCAGTGTAGCTACAACTAAAAAGTGATCTGATATATCTGTGGCCTCCCTATAAACATGAAGTCCACTCAACAGTCTTTTATCTACCAATACATAATCCAACAAACTACTGTCATTTTGCCCTACATCATATCTTGTATACTTATTTATCCTCTTTTTCTTAAAATATGTATTACCTATAACTAAACCCCTTTCTATACAAAGTTCAATCAAAGGGTTCCCATTATCATTTACACCTGGCACCCCAAGCTTACCTACCACACCCTCTCTAAAAGTTTCTCCTACTTTAGCATTCAGGTCCCCTACCACAATTATTCTCTCACTTGGTTCAAAGGTTCCTATACATTCACTTAACATCTCCTAAAATCTCTCTCTCTCTCTCCTCTACATTCCTCTCTTCTCCAGGTGCATACACGTTTATTATGACCCACTTTTCGCATCCCAAACCCTTTACTTTAATCCACAAAACCCTTGAATTTACACATTCATATTCTCTTTCTCCTTCCCATAATGACCCTTAAACATTATTGCTCCCCCTTCCCTTAGCTCAAACTTCTCAGATACTCCGTTTTAAATCCCATTTATTTCCCCCCCTGAACCCCCCTACCCCCTTCAGCTTTGTTTCGCTTAGGCCAGGAACCAACTTCTTTTCATTCAAAACATCAGAAATCACTGTTTCTTGCATCCGCATACATCCCCACATTCAAGCTCCCAGTTTTTATAAGGTTTTTCTTCTTTTTTTAGAAAATGTTTACAGAAAGGGGTTACACCCCCATTGCCCCGAATTTTGGCCTCAACGACACGCATAGTTTACGGGGAAATATTTTTTTTCCTTCCCCAGGGAAAATAGAAAAATAAGAAAACAAGAGCTATTTAGAAAAAGGAAAAAAAGGATGGAGGAGGGGGATGTGTATGTATGTATAGTATGATGTATATTATGTATTATATGTATGTATGTGATATGTATGTATGTATATGTATGTTTGTATGTATATTTTTATGTAGTATGTTGTATATGTATGATGATATGTATGTATGTATATGTATGTATATGTTGTATGAATGTTTTATGAATTAAGTAGTATGTATGTTATGTAGTATGTATTTTATATGTATGTATTATATGATGTATATGAGTATGTATATGTTTATGTATGATATGTAGTAGTATGTAATGTATGTATGTAATTATGTATGATGTATATGTATGTTTTGTAGCATGCATGCTGCACATGTCTGTGAAGTGTGCCCAATGAAGAGGAGTAGAAGATGCCCGTTACTAGGTGTTTATGGACAGAAAATACACCAGAAACCCACCTCAATAAAGAGAAATCCCTCAGAATTGGGGGAACAAAAAATTCTTCCTCCAAAACCCCATGTGTGTCAAAAGGGGGCAACTAAAATGTCAAGAGCAAGGGGCTAGAAACCTTTTCCCTGTAAATTGCAAATTTTAAAAAAGAAACTTGCATTTTTCTTTTTGGGTCACCCCCAGGTGGATCGGTGGTTTTTTGAAGAATATAGTTTTTTAAACACAAATTTGGGTGTAGGCATGAGCATTTAAATGTTACAGGGGGAGGGATGTTGGAGGCAGGGTTTTTTCATGTTTGAAGGTTGTAATTTTACGTGGGTTAATACAGTAAAAATGTGTTTAAGCTACTGGCTAATTATTTTTTTTTTATTCTTCAAAATCATTTTGGGATTTTTAAATTACACATTATGTTTGTGATTAAGACTTTGTTTATATTACTGTCAAATTTACAAAAAGTCTTGTTTAGAAATAATTTTCTGTTCCAGCTGCCAACATCGCGTCGATTACTCCAGCTGGGCGGGGATTGTGATTCACTTTTAAGAATGAGATTTCCCAGATCGCAAGGTTGCCCAAAAAAAATTACAGTACTGTATTTAAGTTTTATTTTTATTTTTTTTTTTAAAAATTTTAAAGGGTATTCCCAAAAAATTTTTTAAATTATACTGGGAAAACCTTTTTCCCCCATAAGTTTTAAATTAAAATAGTAGTTTTTAAAAATTATTTTGGGAAATTTTTTTCACAGCAAAGCAGAAATTTAAAATTGAAACAATTATTTTTCAGTCCACTGACCTTTTTTTAAGCTGTGAGTTGGCAGAAAGTTTAGAAAGCTGGAAGTGAGGTTGGCAAAAGGGAAAGTGAGAACACTACCACTGTTAATTTACAAATGTTCGAAGTTTAAACTTTTAAAAAACGTTCAGTACCTATTGAAAGGGGCAAAAAACAAAAAAAATCTAAGATATTCAGGAGGGGTTATACAGTATAAAGGTCAACAAAACGATTGAGGTCTCAATGAAAAAATAAGAAATTTTGGAAAGAGAAAAAGCTTGTGGGAGGGCTATGTTCGTAAACAGAGGAAAAAAGGTTTTAGCGTGTAACACTCTTCTTTTGGGTTTTTGGGTTTAAAGGAGCATCTAGTGTTTAAGGTACTACAAGGGGGAAAGAAGAAATTTAAAGTAATAAACACCCAATTATCAATGGGAAGAGAAAAGTTTCGAAACACATCACTTTGAAAACGTAAATTGATGAAAGGGAAGCAATTTTGCTCAACTTCTTATCCTTAAAACCCGTAAATCTTTTTTTATACTTTTTTTTATTATATGTTCTTGCTCTTTTTCAATAATTAGTAATTGACCGACCACTCTAAAAATACAAAAGACATGGTCTTGTAACACTTTTTTTTGGGGAATATCCCATAACCCGCTATGCTTCCAAAATTATTTATTTTTTTCTCTTTTTAAAAATTTTCAGTGCCACCCTTTTTTAGCTGGCACATAAGCATTCATCCCTAATAAAAAAATTAAACCCCTTTTTTTTATTTCCGCTTTAATTATTTCGGTGCAACTTGATAATAGTTAAGGGTGGACAATTCAAAAATTTTGGACTTTTGAATTATTGTCCCAATATTGGATTTTTTCTTACCTTAATTTAGGGGGGAAAAATTTTTGTATAGTTTACTTAATTTTATCTGCTTTTTTTTTTTCTATTTAGAAAACCCTTTTAAAAGGGCATTCAGGTTACAAAGGGAAAAGATTGTTTTAAAAAACATTTTCTTTATTAAAAACTTTGGGAAAATTTTGTTATACAGTACACAAAATTTCATCTTTTTATTTTGACCCTTGTAAATAAAATAAAGTACTTAAAAAGCAAAAAATAAAAAAAAAAGTACGTAATCCCAATATAGAAATTTATTTAAGGGTAGAAAGTTCATTAATTACAGTTGTCTGATTTTTAAAAAAAGCTTGAGGCATTTTAAAAACCCAAAAATATTTTTGTTACAATAAAAATTTTGTATCAGGATCATGTTTTTTTATATTTTTTTGATCAATCCTGGGGGTAAAGTACTTTTTTTTGGAATTATTGCTGTATAAATTGGGGGAAAGAGAGCAGTTGGGTTTGTTCCCAAATTGGGGCAGTTTTATTTCTTTGGATCAAGGGGCCCCCCCTCATAGGAAAAAATGCATACTTCTTATTTGTGGGGGTTGTGATTTTTCGTTTTTACTTTTGTATTCTTTCTTTTGGTCTGTCCTGTATTTTCTGAAAATTAGTTTTGTTATTTTTTATTTTCTAGTTTTCCTGGGCCCAAAAGTTTATTACTTTTTAGGGGGGGGGAGTACCTTTCTAAACGTCCACCCAAAATTGGAGCTAGACTCAAGCCTAATTTTTCCCCCATTTTTAAAAACTGATGATCCCATGGGTTTAGTGCTTCCTCAGATAAATATTTACATACCAAACATTAAAACCAGGGGCTAAATTGACGTTAAGGGGTATCTGCAAAATTTTGTGAATTCTACTCCCTGGTCTGCCCCGCCATGAAAGGTTAAACTGTTGCTGCAATTTGGAAAAAAAAAATTTACATGTAAATAATGAGATCACCTTAGTCCCCGAAGGTTTTGCTGGTAGAGGGCTCTTGACCAAAGAATTTGGTGAATTCTCCCTTTCCTTGGATTTAACCTGATTGCCTCCCATTCCTGGTATTTTTATAACCAACAGGGGTTTCCCCTTTCCCCCGTGATGTACATAATAAAAAAATGCCCTTGGGAAGTAAAGAGGAAAACAAAAATAAACAAAAAGGAAAAAAAAGGGGGGGGTAAGGCCAAGAATGGGAAATAGTTTTTTTTGGGGAAAGATTAGGCAAAATGGCAAGGATATTTCTGAATTCTTCAGAATTTCATCCAAAACCCTTAGTTTTTTTTTTTTAAATGAATATTTGAAAAAATTCATGGTGAAAAAATGGGGCCCCCATAATGGCTACTTTAATTTTTATTGTTTGGGCAAGAAACATCAGGGGGAAAAAAATACCCCATTTCACTTTAGTCATGATCTTTTCCCCCAAAGGAAATTTTTGATCCTGGGAAGGGGTCTTGATACAAGGAAATGGTCTCCTCCTTTGAATCAAACCTGATTGCCTTCTATTCTCCCAGGCATTGTATGACCCCTAAGGCTTGAGTGCTGTCCCCCTCTTCCCTAAGAATGAACGAATAATAATTTGATGGGTGCTGTGGTTATGACCTGGTGTCTTTTCCTCATGCTGAAAGACTATAATGTGTGAAGATAACGATTGCCAAAGCAGACTAGTTTCATCAGCATTATAGTTAAGATAGAAAAATCCCTTCACTCTCCATCAGATCATTTATTGATAATCTGAACAGCTCAGTTTCTTGTGTGGGTGCACTGCCAGCCTTGCCTTAAGTTTTCGTGTTAATCGAGCCATAGCATTTATGGAAGTGCCAAAGCCAACTATCAACTGCCCCAAGTTCTATGCCCATATGGATTGCTAGGTTCTTAGCAATAGCAAAGCTCAATAGAACAAATATTAATGCCAGCAGTGCACTGTTGAACATACCATTCATGTACTGCTTCTTGAACCCTTGTATCTTAGGCTATTTTCCTAGGAATAACTGAACATTTTAGGTTAGCATCTGTACTGTATTTCATAGCTGTATAGTCCTTGTGGCTTAGCGCTTCTTTTTGATTATAATAATAATAATGTACTGTATTTCATAGCATATTCTGGATGCTTTTTCTTGTTTCTTTGAATATCAGACTGTTTTGCTATATCATACTCTTCATATACCTGGGCCAGTAAAATGCCAGCCTCCAGCTTCCTTATTAATTCCAGTTTCTACCTAACAGTGAAAGTCTCACGTTTTTTCTTGGGACCATCACTTGTTTTTGAGGCCATTATTAATTACACTGTACTGAATAATTTGTAGAACGATTAAAAACGCTAAATCCAGGGAAAATTGGAGACAAAACGACGATGGCATGTGAGCCTGCGCACAGACAATAACAAATTGACGTGGGCCGTATCGTTGGCTCCATTGCTCTGGAACTAAAAATAGATGTAGCCTGGACTGGACAAATCTGTGATTAAGTGGAGTTGGTTCATTGTGTCAAGGGTATGACTGGACCAGACAGCCATGCAATATAGATGATGATGTCCATTTCATGGCTATTTTAATTAAGACGCCCCATTAAATGGTCATGTGCAGCCTTCGTCCAGCTAGATTTTTTTTGTTCATTTCAGCTGATATTCGTTTTATCGAGGGTTTACTGTAGTGAACTGTATAATTGTATGACCTATATACTCGACATATTTCATACAAAGAAATAATATTAGGTTAATAAATTTCAGGTTTTTAATTGTTTATAATTGTAATTTAACTGTTGAAATTGAGCAATTGGAGGTAAAGATATCTAAAGGGAAAATTATTTAAAAAAGCATTCTATATTCTTCCCCAGGTGCTGGCAATCCTGGTTTACATTGTAACCCTGTTGTAGAGATTAATACAATAACAGTAAATTTGGGGTCAAAAGTATTGTATGTCTCTTGGTCTATTCATTCTTCCTAAGAGCTGAGTCCATTAGTAAAAATAAATTAATTACCAGGCACATTTTGCAGTTTTATTAAATTCTGTTCTCTTATTTGAATCATTAGTTAATCCTCAACAAATAAACTGATCTAAAAACTCTTAAGAGGAATAATCACTTCACATTTCAAGAACAGTTATTATTAAAATACAATCAATTGACAGTAGAATCAAATAAGCACAAAAGGTACTGTATAATTATTCCAACAATAAATAGCAGGTTGGTTAAAAAGTAGTACATTATCAGTCGACACCCATAAAGGGAAAGTGGGAATTTATCCTCATCAAAAAAAAAAAAAATAAAAACTGGTTTGTAAAGGTACTGAAAACTCAGCTTGTCAGGAAAGAAGTTCTAAACCCATATGGTCAAGGATATATTTAAAAATTTCCTGACACATTGCAAAAAAATTAAATTTTTGTTTTCTCAAGATGTGACACAGTTATTTGCAAGAGAATGATGAATAAACCTAAGATGAGAGTTCCATCATCACTGAAGGTTAAGTTTCTGGACCATCCTATGTACAGCAAGGTCTACCTTGGCTGGTGGGATGGTAGGAAAGTAGTGCTTCAATGTGGCAGTCCATTCATCTACACTCACTTTGGTCTTGATGGCTGCATCTATCCGACCCAGCAGAAGACTCTGATCTTTCATAGCCACCATGATCCTTTCATGTTCTGCAGAGTCCCTATCCTCTGCTTCACCCTCTGAGCTCTCAGGTTTACATGCATTTTTTGCTATGTCACCCAATATTTCCAAAGAATTTTCACTTAGTGTTTCTGAATCTTTTGTATTCAAGCTATTTTCCTCTCTTTGTAGATTTGACTCATGCTCACAAATACCAGAATTTTCATTAGCAATACTAGTTGCCCCTCCAAGTGTACTGAGTTCCTTCGTTGGCAATGAATCTGCTTGTGGGAACCTGACAGCACGTATTCCCTGTAGGAAGACGCTCCTTTTCCTCGCTGATGTAGACTTTGTCCATGTTTGAATAGAAGAACTTAAGGTCAACAGGGTTTAACGAGAAGTGGAAAAATTGACGCAATTCTCCCACCATCACAGCCTGAAAGTAGTTTTGATATGTTTAGTATCTGAATGAATGAGGTTTTCCTTTCTTTGCAGCTACATAACATTAACTCTTAAAGTAACATTAACACATTCTCATTCTCATATTTTATAGATGTTAACCCCTCAAGAGAAGTTCCTTGATGCCAGTAAGGGGCTCTTGATCTAAGGAATTGGACCTGTGATTGAATCTGTATGCCTCCCATTCCCAAGGCACTGTATGACCCTTATGGGTTTGGTGCTTCCCCTCCATAAATTTACTACTAATAATAATATAAATGCTAAGTGCAGTCATATCCAGAAACACTCATATTTTGTTATATTCATAGCTGTACAATATACAATACTCTTACAATTGAAATTACTAAACACTTGTTGTGAACATCCTCACCGGATCATTTCCAAGGTTATGATCGTGGTGGAGACGGAGCACCAGATCACCCTTTCTACAATAGGTATACTTGAGACCGGCTTGATAGAATGTGACTGGCAAACTGTTCACGGCCACTGCCTCCAGGAAAGGATGGCCGCACCCTACGTCGATGAAATGATCATCCCCAGGACACCTGTGTCGTCGTAAGTTATCAAGTTCAGTTTTTATAGTTAATACATCTACTTATACTGGTCAATAGATGCTAGAGGCTCTTAACAACTGCAACTACATTAAATAAAAAAAATCAGCAAAAAGGATGAAATTAGTGGTACTGCAACTTAATATTTTATCTTAAGGTAAAAATTAGAGAGATACATGGAAAAAAATCACATTGTTGATAGGCTGCTTAAAATTATGTAAACACATGACAGCAAAATGACAAAGCGCTGAAGAATCAGAAGTTCATTTATTTTTTAATTAACACCCCTTAGGGAAGGTTCCTTGATGCTGGTGAGGGGCTCTTGATCTAGGAAATAGGATCTGTGCTCCAGTTCCCTGAATTAAGCCTGAATACCTTCCACATCACCCTCCCTCCCCCACAGGCACTATAATCCTACGGGTTTAGCACTTCCCCTTGATTATAATAATAATTTTAATTAACACATCGACTGTTTCCCACTAAGGCAGGGTTACCTGGAAACACTTTTATCATCATTCACTCCATCACCGTCTTGCTAGAAACATGCCTACACTACAGTTATAAAACTGCAACTTATCAACACGCCTCCTTCAGAGTGCAGGCACTGTACCGCCTGCTAGTTTCCCTGAATCCCTCCTCTCAAGGGAGGTTCCTTGACACTGAGGAGTGGCTCTTGATCTACAGAATTGGATCTGTGCTCCAGTTCCCTGAATTGAGCCTGAATACCTTCCATCCCCCCCACATGCACTGTATAATCCTGCAGGTTTAGTTCTCCTCCATGATTATAATATAATTCCCTGAATCCCTTCATAAATGTTACCTTGCTCACACTCCAACAGCACATCAAGTCCTAAAAACCACTTGTCTCCACTCGCTCCTATCTAACACATATATGCTTGCTGAAAGTCCAACCCCCTCCCACGCAAAACCTCCTTTACCCCCCTCCCTCCAACCTTTTCTAGGCCGACCCCTACCTCACCTTCCTTCCGCTACAGATATATAAGCTCTCCAGGTCATTTTATGTCATTCCAACCTCTCTAAATGTCCAAACCACTTCAACAGCCCCACCTCAGTCCTCTGGATAATACTTTTAACAACTCCGCACCTCCTCCCAATTTCCAAACTTCGGATTCTCTGCCCTCAGACACGACATCTCCACTCCTTCCAGCCATCTCCTTGTTGCAACATTCACCAACCATGCTTCACACCCATATAAGAGCATTCAAACTAAACTCATACATTCCCCTTTTTGCTTCCATGGATAGAATTCTTTGTCTCCAAAGACTCCTCAGTGCGCCACTCACCTTTTTCCCCTCATCAATTCTATGATTCATCTCATCTTTCATAGACCCATCTGCTGACTAAGTCCACCCCCAAATATCTGAATACATTCACTTCCCTCATACTCCCTCCAATCTGATATCCAATCTCTCATCACCTAAACCTCTTGTTATCCTCATCACCTTACTCTTTCTTATGTTACTTTTAATTTCCTTCTTTTACATTCCCTACCAAACTCATCCACTAACCTCTGCAACTTCTCTTCAGAATCTCCCAAAAGCACAGTGTCATCTGCAAAGAGCAACTGTGAGAACTCCCACTTTGTGTTAGATTCTCTATCTTTTAATCCCACACCTTTTGCCGCCAACACCCTAGTATTCACTTCTCTTACAACCCCATCTATAAATATGTTGAACTGAAGTTAAATTATTGTTAAAAATATGATGTATTCAAATGAAAGATGCAGCAAAACTCAATTATCAGCAATGCGAGTAGAAAGAACAAAATTACCTGAGGTCCTTAACAAGCACAACAACATGAGTGTGAAGATCCTTCGATGCACTGTATGATCCTGCTGGGGCAGATACAGCTTAGTATTGATCTTGACTGTGATATATTTAAGCATGATTAGTAAACATTACCTATTATTCATGAACATTCGTCACTGTTATAAACAAAACCACAATATTTTAGAATGTATTAACAACTGTAAGCTCACCATCGAGAAAATGTACTTTAAGCTCAAAGGCACTAAGGAGGATGTACATGAAAACGTTGAGGTCAAAGCATAATCCTCCCTCCAGGCTGAGCCCAGCTTCTATTATCTCCTCCAGGCTGGGCACATGTCGCTCCTCCTCTGCCTGTGCCATCAGGCTCACACACTGTAAAGGCCAGATATGTAGGTGAGGGTATTGACTGTTGCTGACAGCTCTCACAATGTACTGAGAATCTTAAAGTTAACAGTTATTTTATACTCACTGAAATCAGTTTGCTGTATTAATATGACATGTTTCTAAAAAGTGAAATTTGTTATGAGAAGGTACAAAAATCTAAAGATCTCTGACATACCTGGAAAGGTAGATGAGTCGTAAAGGAACGAATTATGGTATTGAGAAAGAGCACCGGGTCTTGGGCGAGAAGTGCTTTTCCCTCTATTATTCCAATCTTCTCCAGAAACTTGAGTGCTCTGTGTTGGTCCAGTAGCGCCATGCTGCACATTCTCTACCATTAAAGAGAAGTTGTACAGCCACACCCCCCAAGGGAGGTTCCTCGACGCTGGTGAGAGGCTCTTGATCTAGGGAATTGGGCCTGTGCTCTGGTTCCCTGAACTGAGCCTGAATACCTTCCATCCCCCCCTCCACATGCGCTGTATAATCTTACGGGTTTAGCTCTCCCCCGTGATTATAATTATATATTTAACACCCCTCCCTCCATGCACAAGAAGAATTACAGTACTCTCAATATATAACGGATTTATAAGGGGGGGGGAAGAGGTTAGCGATTAGTTATGATAATAATAATATTAATAAGGGAGGATTGTCTGAGTCTCCATTAATTAAGAATAATGTTAAAATATAGCAAGAAAAAAGTACTTAACACCTAACATAGTACTGTATAAAATTTACAGATATATTACAATAAACATTAAAAATAAAGGAGCTAAAAGCAACAATTTAACTTGTGAATTTTGCCCATAATTTTAAAAGAATGTTATATCGAGGGTTTACTGTACCAACAAATCTCTTAACTATCTTCAAGAGAACTAGACAAGTTACTCAAATCAGTTCCTGACAAGATGGGCGATGGTTGTTACGTCGGGTTGCATGCAGCCAGCAGTAACAACCTAGGCCTTGATCCACCAGGAGGCCTGGTCTGCGACTAGGCTATGGGGGATTTGACCATCGAAAACACCCTTCAAGTATGCCATTTGAAGGGATTTACCAACAATGGTTATAAATGACCATAATTTTTAAAGGGGTGGACCGGTAAGCCAGCGGAAGGCCTCGGTCAGATGACCAAAAGCTCCAAAGGCGGGTCATCATCTGACTAAGACCCGCGTCAGGAAACATGTCCTGTTTCCTGACGAACCTTACCTAACCTAACTTAATTTGAAGGGACATATCCCCGCAAGGGAGGTTCCTTGACATTGGTGAGGGGCTTTTGATCTAGGGAATTGGATCTGGGCCACGGGAGCGTTGATCCCCGGAATGCCCTCCAGTTCCCCGAATTGAGCCTGAATACCTTCCATCCCCCCACATGCGCTGTATAATCCTACGGGTTTAGCGCTCCCCCATGATTAAAATTATAATAATGAAGAGGCATAAATTTAATACTCCATGGAAGAGTGGAGAATTCTTCCTTCGTAAGCCAGGCGTGTCATATAAGGGGACTAAAATTGCAGAAGCAAGGGGCTAGTAATCCCTTCTGTATAAATTACTTAATGTAAAAAGAAGAAAACTTTACATTCTTCTTTTTCGGGTCACCTTGCCTCAGTGGGAGACGGCTGGTGTGTTAAAAAGAATTAAGTAATAATTAGCAACCAGGCCCGGTGGCCTGGTGGCTAAAAGCTCCCGCTTCACACACGGAGGGCCCGGGTTCGATTCCCGGCGGGTGGAAACATTTCGACACGTTTCCTTACACCTGTTGTCCTGTTCACCTAGCAGCAAATAGGTACCTGGGTGTTAGTCGATTGTTGTGGGTCGCATCCTGGGGGACAAGATTAAGGACCCCAATGGAAATAAGTTAGACAGTCCTCGATAACGCACTGACTTTCTGGGGTTATCCTGGGTGGCTAACCCTCCGGGGTTAAAAATCCGAACGAAATCTTATCTTAACACACTGAACACTCACTGTTGCTACAAGATTCAATAGAAAAGTTCCAGGATGGTTCTCAACATTTAGTTCAGTAAAGTTACGGTGGTAATAAGTTAGTTAATGCAACATTGCTGTCCTGGGAGACAGTAATGGTGAAGCTGGAGATTTTGTCCAGGTAGTCGGGAATTATACGCAGGAAGGAATGCATATAAATGACCTCATGGGAGACAGGAGCCGTAGTGGGGAAACAAGTGTAGTCAAAGATAAGATAAAACCAATATTGCAAACTAGAAATACCACAGGAAATAGCAAACAAGAGGATTCCACTAGCAATAGTGAGGATATATTACCAAAAACAACTGGTGGGAGCTCCATTGTTGGTGCTAGGGAGGATAGGAATAAGACAGGTAAACATGCACCAACAGGGAATACAATCACAGAAACCCAATGCAAACGGAAACCAAGCCTGTGCACATACTATGCACTTGGTATCTGCAGACATGGGAAATCTGGAAAAACAGATGGGACGTGCAACTATGACCACCCTAGAAAATGCCGTGCCCATATGACAACAGGAAAATGCAAACTCCCTTCCTGTAAGCTTTTTCACCCTGAAATGTGTACCTCTTCAGTACAGGAAAGACTGTGCTATAACTTAAATTACCAGGCACACCATCTAAAGGGGACAAAAAGATACAAAACATCCAGGCTACCCAGGTTTTCACCTGGGTAGCCACAGCCACTCAAGAGGGAGAGGTTTTTTAGTGCCAGAAAGGAAAAAAAAACTGGCAGGAAATGGCAGAAATCGTACACCAAATCCAGTCATTCCTGGAGTGGAACCACAGTCGATGGCCTCCACTCCAAACCAACAGATACAGATACTAATGCCGGAAAAAAAATCCCCCCCAGTACCAACAATACCACCAGTCCGATGACATTCTTCTTTGCAAATATACAGGGTCTAAAGCCAGCAACAAACAACAAAATACCTTTCATCCGTGGACTGCTTGCAGAGGCAAAGGCAATGTTCGCGGCTTTCACTGAGACCCACATAAAGGATCACTTGGACAACTAAATATGGATCCCAGGTTACAACCTATACAGATGTGACAGAGTGAACAGGCAAAAGGGGGGGGGGGTTGGCCTGTACATTGCAGAGTCACTTGTTTGCACAGAACTGCTTAATGCCTCAAATGATGTAGTGGAAGTTTTAGCAGTAAAGATCGAGAACCAAAACCTAGTCATTGTGGTAGTCTACAAGCCTTCGGATGCAACATCCCAGCAATTCCAGGAACAGCTGTTAAAAATTGACCACTGTCTGAAAAATCTTCCAGCTCCTGCACCCAACATCTTGCTCCTGGGGGATTTCAACTTAAGGCACCTAAAATGGAGGAATATAGCAAATAATACTGTTGCAATAATAACACCAGGAGGCAGCTCTGATGAAAACTCACACTCACACGAGCTTTTAAATCTCTGCACAAAATTCAATTTAAACCAGCAAATAATAGAGCCTACTAGACTGGAGAATACACTGGACCTCATCTTCACTAACAATGATGATCTGATACGAAATGTCACCATATCAAAAACAATATACTCAGATCACAACATAGTTGAGGTTCAGACATGTATGCTCGGAGCCCCAGACCGACATAATGAGATTAGTCACGAGGGAGCATTCACCAAATTCAACTTCAATAACAAAAACATAAAGTGGGACCAAGTAAACCAAGTCCTAACCGATATAAGCTGGGAGGATATACTAAGCAACACAGACCCCAACTTATGCCTAGAACAGATTAACTTGGTGGCACTCGATGTATGCACAAGGCTTATTCCTCTAAGAAAAAGGAGGAGTAGATGTAAAATAGAAAGAGACAGGCGCTCCCTTTACAGGCGACGGAAAAGAATAACAGAGCGGCTAAAAGAGGTCAATATATCTGAAATGCGTAGGGAGACACTGGTCAGAGAAATAGCAAGCATCGAACTTAAGCTAAAGGAATTTTATAGGAGTCAGGAATCGCGGGAAGAACTAAAAGCCATAAATGAAATCGAAAGAAACCCAAAGTATTTCTTCTCCTATGCCAAATCAAAGTCGAGAACAACGTCCAGTATTGGGCCCCTACTTAAACAAGGTGGGTCCTACACAGATGACAGCAAGGAAATGAGTGAGCTACTCAAGTCCCAATATGACTCAGTTTTTAGCAAGCCGCTAACCAGGCTGAGAGTCGAAGATCAAAATGATTTTTTTATGAGAGAGCCACAGAATTTGGTTAACACAAGCCTATCTGATGTTATCCTGACGCCAAATGACTTCGAACAGGCGATAAATGACATACCCATGCACTCTGCCCCAGGGCCAGACTCATGGAACTCCGTGTTCATCAAGAACTGCAAGAAGCCCCTATCACGAGCCTGTTCCATCCTATGGAGAGGGAGCATGGACACGGGGGTCGTCCCACAGTTACTAAAAACAACAGACATAGCCCCACTCCACAAAGTGGGCAGTAAAGCAACAGCAAAGAACTACAGACCGATAGCACTAACATCCCATATCATAAAAATCTTTGAAAGGGTCCTAAGAAGCAAGATCACCACCCATCTAGAAACCCATCAGTTACACAACCCAGGGCAACATGGGTTTAAAACAGGTCGCTCCTGTCTGTCTCAACTATTGGATCACTACGACAAGGTCCTAGATGCACTAGAAGACAAAAAGAATGCAGATGTAGTATATACAGACTTTGCAAAAGCCTTCGACAAGTGTGACCATGGCGTAATAGCGCACAAAATGCGTGCTAAAGGAATAACAGGAAAAGTCGGTCGATGGATCTATAATTTCCTCACTAACAGAACACAGAGAGTAGTAGTCAACAGAGTAAAGTCTCCGAGGCAGCTACGGTGAAAAGCTCTGTTCCACAAGGCACAGTACTCGCTCCCATCTTGTTCCTCATCCTCAAAACTGACATAGACAAGGATGTCAGCCACAGCACCGTGTCTTCCTTTGCAGATGACACCCGAATCTGCATGACAGTGTCTTCCATTGCAGACACTGCAAGGCTCCAGGCGGACATCAACCAAATCTTTCAGTGGGCTGCAGAAAACAATATGAAGTTCAACGATGAGAAATTTCAATTACTCAGATATGGTAAACACGAGGAAATTAAATCTTCATCAGAGTACAAAACAAATTCTGGCCACAAATAGAGCGAAACACCAACGTCAAAGACCTGGGAGTGATCATGTCGGAGGATCTCACCTTCAAGGACCATAACATTGTATCAATCGCATCTGCTAGAAAAATGACAGGATGGATAATGAGAACCTTCAAAACTAGGGAGGCCAAGCCCATGATGACACTCTTCAGGTCACTTGTTCTATCTAGGCTGGAATATTGCTGCACACTAACAGCATCTTTCAAGGCAGGTGAAATTTCTGACCTAGAAAATGCACAGAGAACCTTCACGGCGCGCATAACGGAGATAAAACACCTCAATTACTGGGAGCGCTTGAGGTTTTTGAACCTGTATTCCCTGTAACGCAGGCGGGAGAGATACATGATTATATACACCTGGAAAATCCTAGAGGGACTAGTACCGAACTTGCACACGAAAATCACTCACTACGAAAGCAAAAGACTTGGCAGACGATGCAACGTCCCCCAATGAAAAGCAGGGGTGTCACTAGCACGTTAAGAGACCATACAATAAGTGTCAGGGGCCCGAGACTGTTCAACTGCCTCCCAGCATACATAAGGGGGATTACCCTGGCACTGGACAAGCACCTAAAATCGGTTCCTGACCAGCCGGGCTGTGGCTCGTACGTTGGTTTTCGTGCAGCCAGCAGTAACAGCCTGGTTGATCAGGCTCTGATCCATCAGGAAGCCTGGTCACAGACCGGGCCGCGGGGGCGTTGATCCCCGGAACTCTCTCCAGGTAAACTCCAGGTAATTAAACTATAAAGAAAAAGGCGTGTACAGGGGGAAGGCAAGTGCAAAGTGGAAGTTAGAGTTGGTACAAAAGGTTAGTTTCATCTAAAATCAGAGAGAATCAACACTGAAGGTAAGACTCGGGAAGGAGACGAGTCACAGTGAGTGCATGTGAGTTGCTGAATTTTTCCTTGTTTTATGAACACGTACGATGATAAGCAAATATTACACATTTAATACTTACATTCAGTATACACATACCTTTATTTTCTTTTGTGCTTCTTAATGACTTTTAATTCTGTAATATTTCCTTTCCTACCTAGGAGGCCTGGTCTGAGACCGGACCTTGTGGAAGATAATCCCTTGTTTATCCCCAGAAACACTAACAGAAAACATATCACCATCACTAGTAGTCTCACCACATGGTTATCTCTATCAACATACTAATATTTCCAATACAACAGCCTCTCTCGCCACATATTATCTTCGCCAACATCATACCTATCTCCAACACTAACATCATGCAGAACCTCGTATCCCCAACAGTTGCAAAAAAACTCGCCAGCAAGCTTCGTATCTCCTTATCCAGATCTTAGAAACACTTATAACTTACCCTCGTGTCTCCACGTAAAATACTAGCTAGTAGCGTCAGACTCACCTGCTGTAAGCTCAGCTGCAGCTGCCAGTCATCTCCACTCTGTGATTTCAGTCTAATACTGTCTAGTCAAAACTTGGAGGCAGGAAGGACATTATAAAGATATTCAGAAAATAGAAGTTATAATAAAAGTAGTGAGTACGCATTGCGAAATCCCATACTGTGATGCTGTGGTACCATTAAAACAAGAAAAATAGACATTCTTGAAATCGGGCAACCGTGTACCTGAAGGTGATAGCTGTGTAAGAAGGGCTGCCCCCATACCATGACTACTGACCTTGTATTTGTGACCATCTGGACGCTGTCCAGCCGCTGTTCATTTTATCCTACTTTTTTTAATAATAGTAGTAGACAAAAATGTTTAGTTTAATGTTAGTTTAATATGTTTATTATGCACCCCATACCCACCCTGTGGGCGGTAGTCAAAAGATTACAGAGGTACATAATTGGTCCAGGGACTGGACTCCAAAGTTTTGATAGCTGAGCAAGTTACAGAGGTAATGAACTCACAATTTACAAAGGTAATGAACTCACAATTTACAAAGGTAATGAACTCACAATTTACAAAGGTAATGAACTCCAAGTAGGTCTGGTCACAATCATGACAAGTTACAAAGGTATTTACAGATTACAGAGGTACGTAATGGATCCAGGGACTGGACCCCCAAAGTTTTGATAGCTGAACTAGGTACAAAGCTCACAAGTTACAAAGGTAATGAATTCTGTAAGAATGGTTACTTATGTTTATACATGGCTACAATCATGAACAAATTATAGTGTAATGAGCAATTCACACTTCCACACCCGGTCACAACTGTCATGAGTTATTGGTGCAAATATTGATTGTTGAGTCACATACACACACACACACGCACACACACACACACACACACACACACACACACACACACACACACACACACACACACACACACACACACACACACACACACACACACACACTGCTTAAAGCAGAGGTGTGGAACTGTGTCAAACGCCTTCTTGCAGTCCAAGAAAATGCAATCCACCCACCCCCCTCTCTCTTGTCTTACTGCTGTCACCATGTCATAGAACTCCAGTAGGTTTGTGACACAGGATTTCCCGTCCCTGAAACCATGTTGGCTGCTGTTGATGAGATCATTCCTTTCTAGGTGTTCCACCACTCTTCTGATAATCTCCATGACTTTGCATACTATACATGTCAGTGACACTGGTCTGTAGTTTAGTGCTTCATGTCTGTCTCCTTTTTTAAAGATTGGGACTACATTTGCTGTCTCCCATGCCTCAGGCAATCTCCCTGTTTCGATAGATGTATTGAATATTGTTGTTAGGGGTACACATAACGCCTCTGCTCCCTCTCTCAGGACCCATGGATTAAGAATAATAATAATAAATTCTTAGGGTGACATCACAAAGTTTTATGGAGAATTTGAAGTTAATGCAATCAGAAGATTGGTAGATGCATTTCAGTGTGATCACTTAAAATGTTCTAATCCCGTGAAAGAAAAATAACCACGACACTTAACCGAAAGTGAAAATGACTAACACCAGTGTATGAGTAGTAGGAGTCCCGTGGCTATACTGCATCTCTGTACATCCACAACTAACTCAGTGAAGACATCTGCATTTTCCGTCCCTATGTATCTAATTTGCAAAATCGTAGTAACACATTACGCTCTCTGCATAATGAACCACAGCCGAACAGCAGTTATAGAAGATTGGCCATTACAGTATGTGGGTGTTTGGTCATCCCCTTTCACAAACATGATCATTAAGAAACACTTCTGTGGATTAAAGAAAGATGGGACACATTTAACTGATAGCCAACTGCTTGCAGGTGGTCCTGCTGCGGGTCTTAGTCACATGATGGCTTTCACTGGACCCTTTGGTCATTTGACAAGAGGCCTTTCCCTGTCTTATCGGTCCACCTCGTAAAAAAATAATTATCACATTATAATATGTAAAAGTAGGTTTTCTACCCCAGGTAAAAAACTGTGAGGCATCATACATTAATGTCTGGTGTTTCATGCCATAACTTTGTAAGTTTTTCATTTACTAAGTGTTCTTAAGAAATTAAGTTTTCCAATTTTGCTGGATTTCTGTTTATGTTCCCACTAATAATTATACAGATATTGATGTTAACTTTGTATAAAGTCAGATTTAGCTAGGTAAATCCCACTATCAGCGAATTCGTCTCTCTGATAGTTGTATTATGCTGTGTATCATGATCTGGCCGTCAACCAGGCCTGAGTCAGAAAGATTGCCCAGGCACATAATGCGTCAAGGAACTGGGCCCCCGTCCCAAACTGGGAGCTTCCATTTAGCACTAGGCAACAATGTTGTTGCCTAGTGCTAGTGACTGGGTATGTTGGCAACTGCAACAGTGCGATGCCTCCTAGCTGGTGCTTTTGAAGAATGGTGGTAGTCATCTAGTGCTACTTTCTACCCATCACCATAACTATACTTTATCAATTCAGTCA